CAGAGGGCAGCCCAGAAACTGGAATCTAGAAACAAGATGTGCTTCATCTTTAAATACTATTTGGGAAAGACAGAGAAATGGGGAAGGGATTTACTCTTTGAATTGTGTAGTTTGACTAGCAAAGTAAGAATAGAAATAATAGTGATAATTTCTAAAGCATATCTTACCTTTTTCCCTTTGTGATATGCAGTAAAGCAGGATAATTCCTGAAGTCATGATTATGAAGTCATCCATTAGTTTGAAAAAAAAAGTCGAAATTGAACTTTAGTTTGGTAGTAGGGGTAGGGCAGGTAGTGTTTTCTGTAGTTACATGGCACCATAGGCAGGAACAATAGCTAACAATAAAATGCCATCTTATGGAAAACTAGAGCAGTGAGTTTACAGAAACTCCATCTATTTCTTTTTACAAAAATATTCTCAGATATGAGGGGAAGATCTCTATGGGGAAAACAGCCTGTGAAGCATGAGAAATCTGAAAAGAACTCCGTCTGCCTTTTTTTTCTTGTTCTGATGTTCATCTCTCTCTCCCCAATCCTCAGTGCAAATTCTCACTTCTTTTACATGGAAACCATTTACTTTGAGACATCCAAATCTGAGGGAAAGGGAATGAGAGAGGGGCCAAAGGCTGCAGTTCTTTTTGGGCTGAGCTCTGTGCTGGGGATGACAGCTGGCTGGGTGATGCAGGTCTCCTGCCTTCCATTGCTTCAACTTCCTCTATTCATTGGTGAGCCAAGCACAAACAACTTGATGCCAGGCATGTGTACACCTTCTTGGTTTGCATCTTCTGCTCATACCACTACCATATGACCTCAATACAGGGTTATGCCCTGTGCATTCCATATCCTAACCTGTTAGAAATATTTGAGATCTTTTTACATATAAACTTCACCCTATACTTAAGTGTTTCTGAGCACACAGGGCAGGTAACAGATACTTAACATTCAGATACTAGATAGTTTGGCAGGAGTATCTGTTTGACGCATGAAGGCCTTGGGTAGAGACTGATATCAAAGTGTATTCTACTGGAAAGATAAGACATTTTTCAATGTGCCAACTGCCTACTTAGAATTTCAGTAACATTAATTTGTAGGGCTTGTGATACTACTTTGTGACAATAATAACTGCTCTTACAGAATACCCTTGAAGAGATTGAAGAGTCTAAATGATATTTTGAGGATCTGAGTGTGTACGTATTATGAATTTAGGTTTTATATGATAAGTTGAATCAAGTGTTTATGCCTTGTATCTGTCTTCTGCTACAAGCTCGTATCATATTACTTACTCTGGAGTCTAATGAGTGCATAGAGAGGTTATGAACAGCCATCAGTAACTGAACAATGTCACAGAAAAAAAGAAAACTGACCCAGTATACATGTGCTTCTGCAGACATATTAGAAGTCTAGAAAATAAGGTGGGAAACCAGAATGACAAGTGTTGAATAAGAGAGAAGATTTTGCAAGAGAAATAAAACTGAATATTAAATATAATTTAAAGTAATGTAAAGTAGAATAAATGTTTTTTGGCTTCAAATGCCAAAAGCTTGCTTCCATACTAGGAAGAAAAGGAATGGTAGGATATGAATAGGATCAGCAACTACTCACCATCATTATTAGAATACTTTCTTTAATTCCAGAGAGGTTGCTTTTATAAAGAGTTAAACTCATTTAAATGAGAATAGCATTATGGAATTGCTGAGAGAATAGTAACTGAGAAAGTAATACTGTAGATGTGCTAAAGCCAGGAAAAAATTCATGATACTAAGAGATCTACTGAAGGCATGTTATTTTGTGCTATATTGCTATATCCCCAAACTTCCACTTTAACCATCTGCAGAGAATTTTTAGGCCTATGCACAGTATAATGAGGCAATCTTGGGATTCAAAATTAATTGCTGGCGTACCTGAACCACCTCCTTTGCATGCTAAGAACTCATAGAAAGGGACAGTGGGTCTTCAATGGCCAGAGTCAGAAGGCTTACATTCTGCCTAAGTTACTGTCTTTAATATGTCCAAGAACTGTACAGCAGTCAGTGATCACAGGTGGAGTTTAGGATGATGGATGGACCCTTCAGGATCATGCACTGGTCAGTGGCAGGGGCATATTGGCTCCAGAACTATCCCCTATTCAGTTTACCTGTAACTGTGGAATTATGCAGCATGAACTAAAGAAAAATGAAAGAATGACTGCCTATGAAGGAGTCCAGTGTAAAATCTGTGCTGCTTCTGATGCCTAAGCTGACTCTGTTAAAGCTACCTGTGGCATCTCTCCAGTAGACTGCAAACAGGCTGTTGGAAAAGAAGCAGAAAGCAGGGGGGAAAATACTGGGAAGGAGTGGTCAGAAGTGTGAATAAACTCACATAAATTTGAGACTGTGTTCAGACAGGGTGGTCATACAGCAGTCTTGCATACTTGCTGTAAGTCTTGCATACTTTCATCCTCAGCTCCAGATGCAGCACACCCCACTGCAGGAACTGCCTGCTCCACAGAACTCCCTGTCAGTCCAGTAGTCTCACAGTGCACACAATTTAGAATGGCCTACAGAATCAGATGTGAAAAGAAACACATACTACCTGTGACCTCTGCTCAGTGGTGTCTAGATTCACAGCAACTCATTCATACTCTGTGAACACGTAGATGTTTGAAAATGATCAGTGGAGCATACCACAACATACTTTTTAGTGAACTGCAACCCATGACCTTTCAGTGTTTTGGGATGGTTACAATTTCTAATGGAAAATCATCTGATATGATCCCATCAATTCAGTTCCCTTGGTAGCTTTATCCTACTTTGTAGCTTTGTTGTTTTTGTTTTAAATTTTTGAATTAAAAGAACGTGTAAGGATGAGTTTACTGGGTTAAAACTAATGCAGAGTGTCCAGTGAAGCACTGGCTGAACTTTTACAGAACGCAAGTGGGAACCAAAGTTTTAAAAAATATCCATCCAGCATATCTGTGTCCTGGAATACGACAGTCTGTACATCCAAGGGCATTCCTTGGGATTCTCTTTGACCCTTAGTTTTCCTCTTGACTCTGCAGAATTGTTCTGCAGAGGTAGCCAGGAAATTATTAAAGGTACTGAATGCATCAGGTGTTATTTGGTATAAAAGGAAAAGGAATCACAGTGTGAACAGGGAAGGAAGGAGAGACTGCTCTTGTGTTTGTTTTACGTGACACACTTGACACACTTCTGAGCATCAGCATCTCACGTTGCTAAACCAAGGAAAACATTTCTAATATCTTTGCATCTGACCACTGCATTTCAGTCAGTGTGCAGCAGAGCTAATTTCACTCACTCTGGAAATGCGCTATTTGGATTCCTGAGGAACTATATTCACCTTCTTTTCCCGCATAAATTTAGAAACTTTCAAAGTAGTAAGTACTATATATCTGTGGATAATTTTGTCAGAAAATATGAAAAAAACCTTACTCAGAGCATCTGAGTAACTGCTCAACTAATGACTTGATCAGCTACAACAATAGCTGCTAAATACCCAGCACCAACTAAAGCCCTTTTCTCTTTCTGAAAACCACAAGCTAGATGAGAATCTTAAGCTAAACCCAAACAGACAATGAAAGAAATCTTTGCCTGGTCAAAGGTAGTATCACTGGCATTACACTACCTGCTCCATTATTAATGAGAATTAACATGGGAAGAAGATACACCACTGTCGGGAGGAAAGTGTACTGATTTCCATGAGTCTTCACCCATCCTCAGAGCAAAGAAGTAGAAGAGTTGCCAAGAATCTCATTTTATCTTTCATTTCTAGCTTTATGGAACAGTAACGCATCTGGCTGGGAATGCCACCAAAAATTAGCAGTTACTAGGGCAAATGAAAAAGCCCTATTAATTTATAAACTTGTTCACAAACACAGACAAAAGATACAACAACATTTCCCAATCTTTGCACCTGGAAATGAGAAATAATATTTCAGAAGGTGGATTGAACCTTATGAAATCTTAACTACCATCACTTGGAAGTGCTACAGTTCTGCCAAGTCAATTCAGAAAAGATGTATAATGGGATATGAATATGTAGAAATGAGTTTTATAAGTAAATTCAGTGCATTGCTAAAAGGAATAAGAGATCTGAAGTACAAATTGATCTGTTTTTCTAAAGGAAAATTCAGTAAGTTACCTCTCCAGCGCAGCAAATGTGAAAACAATACTAAAGAAAGAAACATTTCCCAGGGGAGACTCACAGCACCTTTTGTGAAAGACAGTCCATCAATGCATCTGTGTTGAAAATCAGGCAACTACATTTCCCCTTTACTCTATAGACACTACAGTTGTCTTACTCCATTATTGTCAAGAGTATAAAGTTTTTCCCTGTCCTGTTTTCTTTGACAGTCACAAAGCCTTGTTTATCAGGAAAAAATTGAGCACTTTGAAATCATGTTCTTATCAGTCCTCTGCATGTGCACAGTGGCAATGTAAATAGTCTCATTAACTAAAACTGGGAGAAACGAAGCAGCTCAGAGCTGTCTGTGAGAAAAGCTATTAAAAACAGAGTCTGAAGTGATTTTTCAAGAGGAGGCAAATGCCTCTGCCAGCTGTAGAAATACAGAGAGGAGGGAAATTTGAAATCCTCTCCCTTAACACACAATCTCTACAACTCCTAATCAGTATGAGTTAGATGACATTGACTGAGGGACAGATACTGTTTTCACAGGTGGAGAAGCAAAACCCCGAGCAACGAGTGCTGTTACAGAATTAGTATTGAAAGACAGAGCACAGAGAGCATCTGAAGTCAAACAGAGAGCTGAAATGTTTGTTATAAAAGACAGCAGGGAAGTAAAAACAATAAAAGGCTGAAGGACAGAGACCAAAGACAGGAATTAAAACAGTGAGGGAGAGATCTTAAAGAACTACAGAGAAGCACAATAGATGACCTATTCAGGTCTCTGCCTCTCATCATAATGATTGTTATCTCCATATTTTTATTTTGGCAGATAACCTGATCTTAATCTCTCACCCCTAAACTTTTCTTCTCTTTTCTCACCTGTCCACAGCTATTGCTGTCATGGAGTAGATGCTGGCGAAGACAGCTGTGATTGGGAAGAAGTTGTGGAAGCGGCAGTAAGCCTCTCCGAAGTACCACTCACTGTGCAGCGCATAGATGAAGTTGATGAGGGTATTGAAAGCAGCCATGGAGGCATCAGAGAAGGCCAGATTCACCAGGAAGTAGTTTGTCACTGTCCTCATGCGCTTGTGAGCCAGGATAATCCAGATGACAATGAGATTTCCGAAAACAGCCACTGCCACCACACCACCATAAGCCAGAGACCACAGGGCAATGCGCCAAGAGGGTTGTACAAACTGATTGGAGAAGTTGCTTGGTGAGGATGCTATGGGGGGAGAAGCATTTCCAGCTGGTGCTCCCAGTGCCTGTCCCCAGACATCACTTGCTGCAGCAAGGCTCACGTTCCCCCTGCTGCTCATGCTCATGTTCCAGTTGGCTGTGGGGACAGAAGTCATCTTGGATGTTCCTCTCCTCTCTTCCAGCAATGATGTGACTCTCCTACCTCCCTTTTCCAACCCTCCAAAATCCCCACCAACAGATAAGAAGAGGGAAGGAAGAAAAGGGGGAGGAAGGCAGCACAGCAGGTACAGGGCAGATCTCTCAGAAAAAAGCTTTGACTATGCTGCTCAAACTGTTACAAGTGCTGTACCAGCCAAGTCAGGAGAGCTACCTCAGGGCAGAACAGCATCCTACTTCTCCTGTGTACAGCCACCTCTTGCTTTTGATTTTGCCGAAGGAGCCAAAGCACATTTTATAGGCTTGTGAGTCTCCAGCGTCACAAAGGGAGTGGAGTGATAAGCTCCACTGGCTGGTAAGCTAACACCTCTTTCCCTCTGCTCTCCCTCCTCCTTTTATTTCATTCATTGCCAGCAGCAGGCACTTTCAGGAGCTGTGGAGAGCATCACAGGGAAAATGAATTCTCATCTCATTTATGTTGAGAGATTTATTTTATATTGCCTTTCTTTAGGTTTCATTATTGTGCTTCCTTTTTTAAATAGGTTTTTTTTGCCCTGTCTTTGCAGAGCTAATCAGCTGGCTTAGTTAAAAAATCCCAGGACTGAAACTGCTTTTTTATTACAGCTCTTTCCAGATGATTTTATTCCAGATGAATTCAGACCTGCCTTTTTTCTGCTGTCTTTTCATTTGGTACAGGCTTTCCTTTAAAGTATTCTGGTACCCGCAGATTTGGAATAGTGACCTCTTTTAGATAAATAAATACATCCTGCTGCTCTCTAATTTCACTTTTCAGTTTGTAATATGTAATTGATATCAAGAAACATTTATAAAGCCATTTGTATGTTCAACAGACACTGATTTTTACTGAAAAACTATGTAGCCCTAAACATAATGTCCTTAATTGTGCACAAAATATTAGAGGTTTGTTTTCTTTGTGTCTTTAAGAAAAAGAATTTAGTTCTTTTTACTGATTTGCATTTATTCCACACTTAGTACAGTAGTTATTTTGAGTAAACAGTATTTTTACATGCAGTTATTTCTATACTGGTAGAAAAGGGTAAATGAGGAAATTTAACACCTGATGTTTTCACATCCAAAATCAGTTTCTTGTTAATATGTTAACAACAGCTGGCATTGGGAATGCATGCTTTGTGCAAGGGTTGATTGCAAGGGACTTCAGCTAACAAACCTTTGTTATTCAATAGGGAGAAAATGTGGTTTAGTGCTGATCTGTTCCAGGTTTCAACAATTTAGAGCTACTACTTGTCATCAGCAGAGATTTCAATTGTATCACAGCAGTGGGAACTATTCAATACCCCTGTCAGCAGTGACACATTCAACACTTTTTTTAAACAAAAGCTTCAAACAAAAATCAAATACTCCTGTGTACCATTTCCTCCCTGCTGTATTTACCCAGTGGAAGTAATGTCTGCACTTTAATAGTCAGGTCTAAACTGCGGTGTTAATTTGAATGAGTGTAACTCTGGCTGTTCCTATGTGCTTCTCAGCTCTTACCAGCTGACCTGATCCCAAGCAGTAGCCAACCTCAGGCTTAGAAGCTCTACTGTAAACCACTCATTGCTACAGCATGTCTAGAACCCACCATGCACTGCAGGTCCTTGTCACAGAAAAGCCACAGTTCCATTTTGAGTCCCAAATCTTCCGCCTGCCTCATCTTTCTTCTGCTCCCTGGAGGTGAGCCTGAAGAAGGGAACAGCAGAAAATCTCTGTGAGTTTGAGTGTTGAAAAAATTCTAATGGTGGTTCCAATGAGTGAGGAACACCAGACCGACTAGTTATAGCAGAGGCTTGGACACTCTAGGAGCTTCACTCTCAACTCCAGCAGTTTCACTCAAGATTTTCATATGGCTATAAACCAGAAAGCACAAACCCAGCCCTGTGCCCCATACCTTTCCACCTTTATGCTCAAACTAGGAATCCCAGACTGTATCCTTTTACTAAGCTGATGTGTTTTTCACATTGCCACATCAGCTACCAAAGTCCTCGCGTCCCACATGTTTCTGTTGCTTCCATCCAGCTCTCCTAGCCTCAGTTCTATTACTTCTTTTCCTCAATTTCAGCAGACACAGGGACCCTGTTTCTTGAATGCAGTACTGCCAAGCATGCAGCAGACTGCAAACTTACAGGAGCAGTGTACTGTACAGCACTGCAGTAATTTTCTCTGTATAGGAACATAAAGGATCTATGTTTGAACTACTTGCTCTGTATAGTTCATGGAGTCCTTGTTCTGCTTTCCTCACAGGACCGAAGCTTCTTCTAGCTCTGTCTTGGAAAGTTGCTTGCCATTGCCTACCAGATGTTCTGGAGAGACCATTACCATATATCTTTCCCTAATTCTTTACAGTGCCCTCAAGGGAATTTGTTCTCAATGCATTCCTAGTGAGAGAAATCAGTACAAGGCAACATCTCCTTATACCAGCAGAGCTATCGGTAAACTGAGTCCTTGAGACTTACTTGAAATAAAAATCAAGAAGCTTTTTGTAGTGTGTGTTTGTAAAATGTGAGCCAGACCACCAACACAGAATGCTAACGGAAGTGTCAGTTTTGCAGTGTAGAAATCAAAGTATCATTGATTCTGTCTTCTTCAGGAGTACTCTGAGGAAATATTCCACCCCTGTAGGGACATTTTTATATGCTGTGCTCTTCCCCATCCCCTTTCCCCCACACATGAGAAAAAAACTGGGGTACCATTAGCATAAAGGAAAACCTAGGTTTTTTTATTAGTCTCTTGCTCAGTAAGCTGGATGTTATCAGCTGTGTTGCAGCAGGTATCTGAATCTGGCAGAAGAAGTGGCTGAGTATCTGGAGTTGTTTTATTTCGAGAAGTGGAACACTGAACAGCACAGGACAAATGTTGGGTGGCTGGATCAGCCTTCCATGTGTAACATTTATTACTCCTTTTGGAAATGCCTGTAAAAATTTGCTAGAATAAATTCTCTGTACTCTGGCTTTCATTCTAACTGAAACCATAGAGAAGTTGTCTGGTACGATCAATTAGAGCCAAACCAGATCTTCCTACATCCAAAATGCTACAGCAAGGTTGACCTGCCCTTTAGCACCTTGCTCACATTTTATTTCAGGAAAGAGGTTAGGCAGCCAGGAGTTGGCTCGTGTCTATAGAGGGAACTCACGTGGACAGTGAAGTCAGCTGTGCTTCTCCATTAAAATTTGTAATGATTACACATGTGCTGATTGAAGTGTGGTCAGCTGGTGGCCATCAGCATTCGGTTTCTCAAGTAAGTTCCACAGCAACTTTGGTGAAAGCATTTGTATTAATAACTTCTGAGTAGCAAAATCTGCCTAAGTGGGGTGATACTTATGCAAAAGAGCAGTACAAAAGACAAGGATATGTATTTTTTCTCAGTCTGTCTTGGAAAAAAAGGTGGTTGTAGAGGATATCCATGCTGACATTATTTCTAGAACTGTTACAGGTACGTGATTTCCTATCTTAACTTTTGGCCATTCCAGCTTATGCATATTTGCAGTTTATGCATATTTGCAGTGGAAATGTTTAATTTTCCTCTCTATAAGTCTACTCAGTTTTAGAGGGACTTCTTTCTGGCCATCTGCTATTTGCTGTTCTCTTTTGCTTTTCCGCTGGTCACTACTTTATGCTTGTAGTCAACTGTGGTTAAACTTGCCATTATTACCAGCTCCCCATTCCCAGCTTCACAGAAACACTTAGAAATGTGAAAGAAATAATCTGAAGTGTTATCAGAAAAGTAGCTGTGATTGTCTGTACTTCTTCCTTTGTGTTATATAGTTTAAAGCTATTTTTTCACAGTTCCAGCAAAACTTCTCCTACTGAGCCCAAAGTGAAAGCTAAGCTCTTGACTTAGCATCTTGTCCAGAAGGTAGATTTAGAAATTATTCTGTTCTTTGCTCTTTATGAGATTCTAGAGGTCTTCTGGTGTACTTGAAGTTTTTGTCTGAAATCACTCTTCTAAATTTTTCTGCGTGCTATGGGAGAGACAGAGAATATCAGCAGAATTGCACAAGTAGGGATTTGAAGTAAAATAGCAGCCTGCATAGCATATCTATTTAGCATAAGTGCTAACTGCATCATTAAGGTGTTTCACAAGACCTGTCCTCTTTCTTTTATATATAGCAGTGAGGGCATTGCAAAGTTTACTTTTTGGTTTTGGGTTTGCTTGCTTGATTAGCCTTAGCCTAATAACCTCATTCCCTGCCTCCTTCCTCCAGTGCCCAGTGGGATGAAATGATCCTTCAGCAGCAGCTTTTTTTATTCTTCAGCTTTGATAGCTCCCTTTCATCAGTCAGTCATGAAAAGGTTTAGCTGTGGCAGGAGAATTTTTGCAATTTAAGAATGCTAAACGCTGTCCTATTTATCATGGCTCTGTGTTCACATTGCGCTGCTGTCATGACCATGTCAGCCTACCTGGATTTGGAACAGTTTGCTTTAATTGGTGTAGTTTAAAACACACCTGGAAAACTCAGTTTGAACTTGGTTTCTGATTATTTTTTATAAATGCAAAAGTCTTCTTTCTGGCACCAATTGAAAATGACTCAGTAGGATATTTAGCAACTTCACAAGCGTGTGAGTAGGGATGTTGCAGCAAAGGGCTAGACCAAAACTGGAAGTATTGTATGTTGCTCTTCATCATGGCTAGAGGGGGGCCAGAAATGTGGGGGCAATAGAGCCAAAGAACTGAGTAGACACAAGTTTTTTCTGGATTATGATGCTGAGGTGCAAATTCACTGAAACTATTTTTAGAATAAAGTAAAACTCAGCACGTCTAGAGATGAGTGGTGAGAAATTAACACTAAATAAAAATGAAGACTATTCTGAATTATAGATAATATTCACAAATTACTTTGTATGAGAAAACATTTATTCTTCTTTGATGAAGAAAGAACCTGCAAGATTTCTTCAGCCATTGTGAGTTTGATCTTCTGATACTCCTAAAAGGCTAAAAATATGTGTTTTCCTTTGTCATCAGCATAGCTTAGCCCTCTGT